ATTATTATTATAATTATTATTATTATTATTATTATTATTATTATTATTATTAATTATCATTATTAATTATTATTACTATTATTATTTAATATCGAAGTGATGAAACTGAATGAGATAAGTAAAGAAAAAAAAAGGAAAAAAAATCGAAAGAGTGAACTACTACTTGTATTTCTGGTGACCTAGATTGCATTGATTATAAAAAGACAAAATAAATGTATCCTCATTTTTAGGTCACAAATATTTATTACTTGTCCTTTTTTAATTACCAATAGACCTCTCATTTCAGCTCTCTCATCTTTTCTTAGCATTTAATTAATGGCACTCGGAGATTACTCTCTTTGCTAAGAAATATTTAATAGTAATCAATTAACTAATTAAAAAGAAAAAATAAAACGCGTTTTACTTTGAAACAAACTTCGTTAAAACTCTAAGAAGACGTATTTTAAATACATACATATCTATCTGCGTGTAATTTAAAACAAATAAAATAAAATCTCTCGCTTGTAAAATCTTCCTCTTCCTTGTGAAAATTAGATATTATAGATCGCAACGCAGGACATTGATAATAATGATGATGGTTAAGGTGATGATAATGATAATGATAATGATGATTAATGATGCTAGTGATGATGATGAGGAATATGCATTTACACAATTGGTAATTGCTTCATATGTGTGATGTCATTTGTGAACACATTAAAAAGTTGTCTCTCGGTAAACAAAAATTAGTCTAAGCAATATGTGTCGATATATATTTTCACTTTATAAGATTCATTTTTCAATTTCATCTGTATCTCCCGAGAAAGAATGAAAGAAAGATGATAACAACAAACCAATATAGAAATCGTACATTGCTTGATATAAAAAATACATAACGAATTCGTATTCTTTAAGTTCTATTTGAGATCTCACGCTTGATTTTGTGGCCCAATTTCTCATTTAGCCAAGGAAACTTTTTTTTGTTTTTTCTTTAAATCGTCAATAACAATTATGACCTCTCTTGTAATTTACGTTCATCTCTTTATCAATAATGCTGTTATTTTAACGATTCAACGGTGCTCCAATATTAAGTGTTATCGATTGTTTTTTACTTTTTAAGAGATTTTTCTTTAAAATAATAACTAGTGCGTTTCTCTGTTGCCAAAAAAAAACAAAAGAAAGAAAAATTTAAAAATATCTATATATATATATATATATAGCTACTCGATTAATTAGTTTATTTATTATGTTGAGAACAATACTCATTATTCGATTGTTATTGTTTCACCCTGATTTTAAGTCTAAGGATAATAATTTAATTGTTAGACTAGAGTTTGCTCGCCTTTTATATTTGTTATTAAAGATGATTATAAATATAAACAATAATACGGCAGAAGTACTTACCTCTATTTTCAATGCATCATATTCAAAAATGGTTGCAATCAGCGTTTAATCTTTCAGATAGTAAAAATTAATCATGGATGTTTCTTAACACTTCTTATCGTAAATAAGAAAGCAGCACAATTTGTATAAAATGTTAATGTTGAGTTAATAAATTGTTCCAATGTATAAAATTGTGCATATGTCTCTGTAATTCCTGTTTTATGTTGTTACACGTGTTATGTCATGTTGCGTTTTGTTGGCAATTTCGCAACAGTATAATAAGGAAAATATTATTAGAATAAAGAAATATATATATATATATATATATATATATATATATATATATATATATATAAGTAACAACTAATATACAGAAAAATATATACTATAAAAATTTACTTTATCTATGTTCTACATATGTTTCGTACATAAAGTAATGAAAAACGTATAAATAAGTATTTTCAAAAATATATTTCGTAAAGATGTATTTTCAATTAATTAGATGGAAATAAAGAAGCTCGTAGATTATTAAATAAATGTTGAATAAAATGTAATCATAGGCAAACTTTAGGTTTGATTTTAAATATTGAACATACTTCTTGGAATAAATTTCTCAAGATTTTAGGCTGGTCCTTAAGACTCTAAAAAAATGATATTGCATTGAAATAAATATAGGAAAGAAAAATAAAAATAAAGTATAGCCTAGTATGTAATTCAAATGACACTTACATCGTTAAGAGAGATCGTAGGTATGAAAGAAATTTGTGGCCTAAGTGCACTTGTTAATTCTCCGTATTTGGCTAAAAGTTCTTTTCCTTTAGCTCCTGAATAACATTTGGAAATGGCATTAAAATCCACGTTCATTTTCTGCGCACAACTTTCCATTATTTTTATTGGTTCGATATTGTTTTTAATCATGCAAGACAAGTAATTCAATAGAAGCGATTGATCTTTAATAAGATCAATGGTACACGCATGTACCATATTCCCTTGACATTCGATTGGTCCATGTTGACATTTAAATTCATAAGTATGATCATTTTGTGTTGTCTAGAATATAGGAAATTTTTTTTAATATTACGCAAAGTTTTATTTCATATGATTGAGAAACATTTAATTGTGTTTTTCATACCAAAGCTTTTCCATACGGTATCAATGTGACTTTAACATTTTCTTTCAATTTCATATACGTAGGCAACAAATGCTTTATAAAAAAACTTCGAGAATCGGGACAAAGCGTCTCGTAATATACACCTATGTGAACTATTTCTTTTGCATCTTCCTGCTTCATTGTCATTGACTTACTTTCCCAAGACTCTTCTATGTAAGTTTAAAAAATAATAATTTAGAAAGACCTATATTAGGTCATTCGTATACAACACTTTAAAAAATAGTATTTTACCTCCCATAACATTATCTTGCGCTAACAGTAACCATAATTTAGAAGATTGCCACAATAGTAGGAATGCAGAAATAATCAGCAATATCTTCCATCGAAAACTGCCTAACCCCATTATCTAAATTTATTTTCTACAAATACTGTAATATACAATGAAGGATAAATAAATACTATTTTATGTGTATAAAATATTATGAATATTAACTTACCAATATATGAACGCATCCATAAAGACCACAAATATATAGACATTATTTTTATACCTTTTTTAAAAGTCCATATGTTAATAATATTTTTAACGTGACATCATAGACAAATTTTGATTCTGTTAACTGTAAAGAATAAAGAGGATTAAATATTTGATTTTTATTAACAATAGTAAAACTGGCTAAATTAACACCTAACTTTATTGCCTAACCTTATTACACACATACGTTTATGATAAAACAAAAATAATCTATTGTCTTATTTTTCTTACGCAATTAAATACATTATTTCACCTTATTATGTTACAAAGAAACGTATGAATGTTAATTGCCGTGAATTCCGGTTTAACCAAGAAAGGAAAAGATTTGTCATCGATCTTATTTATGATAAAAAGCATAATCTAGTACAATAGATAATGTTAAGAACGTTAAGAAAAATATACATTGTTTCATTTGAAGAGATAATTTTATGTATCATTTTAAAGATACATTTTGTTTTTTCTCTTATAATATTTTATTATAAGTGCACATAACAAGAGCTCGTAGTTGTATTTTTCTTTCGCTGGGTGGCAGTATGAAAATTTACCGATAAGTGCCATTTTAAAAGAAACGCGCCAATCGTTCGCTCTTTTAAATACAATAACTCGAACGAGTCAATTCATGGTTGTAACTTCGACTATCGTCAATTTTACTAATCGATACTAATTCAAAAATCGATTGTTACGCGCATGCGTGATTAAATACGTTAACATGTGTTCTCCAAATGCATTCTGTGGTGCTTGATCGAACATAACCTGCAAGAGATATGAGTAATTGAGAATTGTATTAATTTTATTAATTGTTTATAATAAAAGAATAATTGTAATAGCGTTTGGAATGTTAAGATATCAATAAATATAAATATTAATATTATACAATTAAATATGGGGGAGAATACGAGAAAATCACGCGTGATAATGGATGAGAGTGGAATATCAAATGTAAGTTCATTAAAATATATATTATTCTTATTATTATTGTGGACTGTTATTGCATATATTATAATATTTTTATTTTATAGATAATTGAATATTCTTACGATAAATGGAACCTACAGGATTTCATGAAAGTACAGTATTTTACACATATTTATATCACACACACAAGATGTCGGAGGTTTTACCGGCAAATTTCAATATGTTCAACTATTAATTCATTATTATATATTTACAGAATTTTAAAATAGTTATAGTAAAAGAATCTCAAAATGAAAGAGAATTAGAATTTGATCTAATCAATTGCCATTCATCGTTTGTTAATGCTATACGTAGAATACTCCTAAGTGAGGTTCCATCTATGGCTATAGATAAGGTTTTTATATTAAATAATACCAGTTTAATTCAAGATGAAGTATTGGCCCACAGGTAATGTAGAAATATATATGTATATTAAATTCAAATTTAATCGTGAATAAAAGTAAAAATTAATTGAATATAAATGTGTAGATTTGGACTTATACCTCTAAAAGCTGACCCTAGATTATTTGATTATCCGTCTACTAACGAGAAAGATGAAAACGAAGTTAGCGATCAGGATACATTAAGATATGAAATTAAAGTGAGCTGTACTTGGAATCCACAGCCACCAAAAGATTCTAGATTATCATCCGACATGTATAAATATAATAATGGTAATACTTTCATTATATTTATTTAGAATTGTAATATTTAGTAATATCAGAGAACAGAAATTGTATATTTTTATTTTATAGTTTACAGTAAGGATATCAAGTGGGTGTCGATTGGACGTCAAGCAGAATTATATCCTAGAGGTGTAGAACAATTGGGTGTTATAGAAGAAGATATTTTAATTAGCAAAATGAGGCCAGGGCAAGAAATTCATGCTTTTATGCATGCAGTTAAAGGTATCGGAAAAGATCATGCCAAATTCTCTCCAGTAGGTACGTATCCTTTTCTTATAAATTTCTTATATTATTTGATTATATTAGAGTAATGTAACTTATACATATTTTTATTTTATGCAGCCACTGCTTCATATAGATTATTACCGGAGATTAAAATATTAAAACCAGTGAGAGGAGATTTGGCTCCACTTTTTAAAAAGTGCTTCAGTCCTGGTGTCATAGAAGTTGTCGAACACCATAAAGATAACCCTGATTCAAGGGAAGCTGTTGTCAAGAATGCACGTTATGATAGCTGTTCTCGCAATGTCTTTCGTTATGATGAACTGAAGGATACCGTACAACTAAGTCGAGTATCGAATCATTTTATTTGTGAGTTCTTTTATTTATTTTAGATTAGTAAAAAAATTACTTTTCCCCTATTTATAGATATTTTATTTTTTGTTATTTACAGTTACTATTGAATCTGTTGGTGCGTTATCATCAGCCGTATTATTTACAGAAGCTGTCAAAATATTAAAATCCAAATGTAGAACATTTTTAGATGAACTTGAAAACCCCTCATAGTAAGTTCAATGTCTTATTTATTTTAAATAAAAAAAAACAAATAAATACTTTTTTTTTTTTATAAATAATTTATTGTCGTTAGAATCCCATACATCGTGTATTTTTTTTTGCAATTATGTGCACCCGTAACATTTATGAAACATTTATTTTATTATAATATATTGTTTTATTTTGATAAATGACAGTAATACCAATAATTGCATACCTTCTTCTTCTTTTAACTTTTATGAAAATATTGATATGCGAAATATTGTATAAAACCTTTGAGCATTAATAGATAAATGTATAACATTATTTCTAAAAATATATATGCATACTGTAAAACATGAGGCACGTGTAGGTACTGTAAAGTTATCATTTTATACAATAGCCATCTAATTCAATATATTATAGCTTTGTTTAAAAATTTTTCATTATTCATGTTAATAAATATATGATGTTATCATTTGGAAGCCAAATGAATATAATTTGGAATAATTTAAATGAAGTTAAAGTTCAACATATAGTAGAATATTTCAATTATAAACATGATGGAATATTACAGAATGGCGCATGAGCTTTTTTCACGAAAGGGATTAGACTTCTGCGATGAGAAACCAACCAAGAGGCAATCCTCTTGTTCGTGCTCAGTAATATATTTCATAATATCATCTATAGCTTTGCTGACCATTATACGCTTTATTGCAGCTTCACGACGCAATTGCTCAGTGATCATGCGTTGCTGTTGGAGATTTGTTATCACCATGTCCATAACAGCTAATATAAACTTAATTAAATGCTTCTGATTTTGATAATATTGAAATTCTGAAAAAATAAATAAATACAAATTCAATTAATTCTGTCAAACCAAAAAATTGTTAACTTCCACACTTGTAATATTTAAAGTAATCAATTTCAAAAGTAAACTTACACTTGGTTTTTTCAATGATACAAAAAAGAAAATTTGTATTTGTATATTTTCTTATACTTCTTATTAACTGTATTTCCTTGAAAACTTGAAAAAGGAAATAGAAATTGAAGAGGAGGAAACCAAACCCTAAATACAGCAAAAGTATGACGTATCTGATTATTTGTTCCTCTCGTGAAAATAACCTATCATAATAGAGATATAATAGGTTCGATTTTAATTGGTTAAAATTCTAGACTAATCAAATTTAATCTCGTGTAATTTAAATGCTGTTTGAAAAAATTTAATAATAATGTGCTTTTAATCTTTTTATTAATTATCAATTATATTATATTTATAATTATATATTATTAATATAATAATTATATATATATATATATATATGTACATAAATGTTATTTAAATTTTAAAAGAAAAGTCCCTAGAACATCCAATAGCGTCATCTACTGTTAGGGTCAAACATGTCCTAATATACAATCAATTTTACGTTTTTTATGTTTCCATACATGAAGATTACTGGTCAACACGGTGATCAACACGGTCGTATCATTTAGCGTCTACAGTTCCCGCGTTGGTGTCTATTTCGGGATTGTTTCTTTTAGTATATTGCATGTTACATTATTCTTTTCTAATAGAGTCTAAGCTTTCGACAATATTCCTGCGAATATTAATTTGACGATGCCGAAAAGAAAGAATCAAGCGTTAATAGATTCGGAAAGTAGTGGCAGTGCATCCGAAAGTGGATCGGATTTAGATAACGTAAGTAATCTAACCTTATACACAATTCACATATTTTAGTTTGTCGATATTTCGTTTTTCTCTTAGAAATAGAAAACATTATTATTTCTTTCTATTGAAAGCATGCATTTATTGTTTTGCTATAATTAAACTCGATGGCAGATTTTTGTATTTATTTCTAATCTATTTTATCGAGGAAAATTATAGTCAAACGATATCATCTAACCTAATTGGCGATATACTGCTATCATTTGTCTTTTATCAGTTTTGTTCTAAACTAATGCTTCTTATTTAAATTAATGAAATAAGATTAAATGCATAAGCAGCCATTTTGTATTTGATCGTTTTTATAGTTTTGATAGATTATGTGATTTAAGATAACATTTGTTATATACGTTATTCTACTTATATACATACATATACATATGTATTTCTTTATTGGCAACACTTATTGTTGATTTTGTATCTATTCTTAAATTAAATATCCGAGATATTAATATTTAAACATGAGATCTGTTTAATTTTATCTTATATAAATACTTTTATAACATGTAGGATCTACTTTCGTTGGCAAAGAAAAAAAAAAGTAAAACACAAGACGACTCTCAATCCAATGAGGACAATAGTATTGCTAAGAAAGATGCCAGGCATGGTACTGATACATCAGATTCCGATGACGATTGGGGAGCAAAGACGGGAAAGATCAAAAAGAAAAAAGTTCCGACTAAAAGGAGTAAGCGGAAGATGACTAAATCCAGTAGCGAGGAAAGTGGAAGCGAAAAAGAATCTGCTAAGGTTTCTGAACCGGAAGAAGGTACGTTACATTATTTTGGAAGTGAATAATCTGTTCCCAAGAATAGAAAGAAAGTAAAGTAAGAAAAGTTTTCTTGAATATGTTTTGTTTTTATTACAACAGGTGAAGTCTCAGATTCTGATCCAAGCGTATCCGATTCTAGTCAAGAAGAATTTAATGATGGTTATGATGACAAATTAATGGGAGATGCGGAAGATCAAGCAAGACTGGCGCAAATGACGGAGAAGGAGAGGGAGCAAGAAATATTTAAAAGAATAGAACAAAGGGAAATCATGAAGACCAGATTTGAAATAGAGAAAAAATTGAGAATGGCTAAGAAACAGGAATTGAAAAAACAAAAGGAATCTAAGAAGAAGGAAAAGGGAGTGGAAGATAAAAAGATAGACAGGGCACCGGATCCTAAAGAGAGAAGTAAGGATCGTAAGAAAACAATAGAAGAGAAACAAGATAAAAAATTTCACGCTATGTCTTTGCTTAAGGCAAGACGCGAGGAAAAGAAAGAAAGGGAAGAGAAAGAGAAGCAACGAATAGAACAACAACAGCAACAATCTAAAGATATAGAAGAAGAAGAATTAGAAGACGATCACAAGGGAGGTGCTAATAAAACTAAGCTGAAAGCTTCCGATATTTATTCTGATGACAGTGGTTCTTCGGACAGTAGAGAAGAGGAACCAAGTTCCAAACTGGAATCACACCAAAGATCATCTTCCAGTGAAAGTAGGGACTCTGACTCTGACACGGACAAAAAGTTTGTATTTTTATATTTAATTTTTTGTTTCTTTTCTATATTTAAAAAATATTTCACAGGAAACTTCATTATTTTAATGAAAAACTTTTGTTTAAAATTTTAGATCTGTAATCAGTAACAAAGCCAAACCGAAGAAACCATTATACGTCAGTACTAAAGATGAGTTGAATAAAATTAGATTATCTCGTCATAAAATGGAAAGATTCGTTCATCTTCCATTTTTCGATCGAGTGGTACAAGGTTGCTTCGTTAGAATCGGCATTGGTAATAATAACGGCAAAGCAGTTTATAGAGTAGCAGAAATAAGCGGAGTTTGCGAGACCGGTAAAATCTACCAATTGGGTGGTACGAGAACGAACAAAGGCTTGAAATTAAGACACGGTGCTCAAGAGCGTGTATTTAGATTGGAATTTGTATCCAATCAAGAATTTACCGAATCGGAATTCTCCAAATGGAAAGAAACATGTGCTTTGCAAGGCATATCGATGCCTACATTCGACGAAGTGGAACAAAAATTGAAAGATATTAGAGAGGCCTTAGTATACGAATTCAAAGAGGAGGATATTGAGAAAATAGTTAAAGAAAAAGAAAGATTTAAACAAACCCCATATAATTATGCTATGAAAAAAGCGCAATTAATGCGGGAAAGGGATGCAGCCAATTGTAGAGGAGACGACGAAACTGCAAGTCGTCTTAATCAAGAATTGAGCGAATTAGAAGAACGTGCATCCGAACTTGACAAAATGAGAACGGCAACGATATCTAGTATCTCCTACATCAATGATCGTAATAGAAAAAAGAACGTTGAAGAAGCGGAGAAAGCTATAATGGTAATATTACATTCTTAACAATTCTATCATTTTTTATGATTTTCACGTGTATATATATATATATATTTTATGATATACACGTGAAAATCATAAAAAATGATAGAATTGTTAAGAATGTAATATATATATATAGAATTGTTAAGAATGTAATATATATATATATATATTAAATAATGTATTGAATTAATTAGGAGGAAATTAAAGCTAACAAGGGGAAAAAAGTGGATGATCCATTCACTAGGCGAAGTACTAAACCAAGAATGGTTTATAAACCAGACGAAGAGGATGCACCTGCAGCGACTGCGACAACTGAAAAGTCAGGTTCTCAACAAATTGGTGATACTATTTCATCGGTCAATGAAAAAGAAAATGGCCAAGAAGTAAAGAAGAAACAGAGCACCGAAGATTTATTCAATGCTCATGACTTTGATATTACAATAGATTTAGAAGTACCAATCCCAAGTAAGTTCACAACTAAATTTCATTCTCTTCCATTTAATTCGTATAACTTTTACACAGGCATTTCATTTCTTTTTGTATTCTATTTTATTTTATCTTTTATTTTCAGATAATCCTGTTAGCGTTTTACCTAAACCTGTGAGTAATATTAAGGATACAGGGCCTCGTCGTTCCTTGAACTTAGAAGATTATAAGAAAAAGCGAGGACTTATCTAACAGTTTATTTACTTTAGACTGAATAATACTAAAATTAATTTATCAATGTTATGTTGTAATAATCGATATAAAAATCTTAGCTATTTTTATCACTATTGATCGAAAGTTAAAATTATAGTATTTTGCTAGCTGCTCGTCATAATTATTATTATCATCATCTTTTTAAAATGATTACAGAGAGAGATCGTTTTTGCCTATTATTATTATTATTATTATTATTATTATTATTATTATTATTATTATTATTATTATTATTATTATTATTAAGAGAAAGATCTTTTAACAAGTATGAAAAGATATTGTTGTCGGTATTACGATAAAATATTTTTCCTTAACAATAGTCTTATAAGAAGAAGTACTTAAAGAAAGAAAATGGTATTATTACTTGGACATTAGAAGAAATTCTTGATTCCACTTTTTTTCCTTCAAATGTCATTAACGCATTAAGTGCCAACCCTCTTTCATTGAGTTTTTCGTTAAGGCCATGATGATCTGTCAGCTGTTAAAAACATAAGAATGATATCGGCCATTAGTGATCAACATGCTCATAAATTTAGAAGTTTTAGCACATATATATACTAAATTAAATATGCAGAGGGTGATTGGTAAACAAACATAATCTGTTCAAAGCGAAAGATATTTGCTATTCATTGCATAGTTCTATAAATCTTACACACACATAGTGTCGCTTTTTCTGGTGTTTGTTATCTGAACATCTGTTTTCATTATCCAAAGATAAAAATCTGTCACGAAAGTAATTGTCCGATTTGTTCATGGTTCAAACTGATTATTAATCAATCACCTGCTGTATATATTTTATGTATTTATATATCTATATATATACATATACACTTGTACTTATTCATTTCAATAATTAAGTGAAACATTTAAGAGAAGAAAAGTGGTTGCAAGATATTTTATAACAAAGAAATACAAGACAAGGTGTCCTAATATTTTTCTTGTAAGTACTGAAATTTATACTCCGCTAACAATTAATGATATATTACANCATATATATATATATATATATATATATATATATATATATATTTCTCTCTCTCTCTCTCTCTCTCTCTCTCTCTCTCT